GAATTGCTATAGAACAAAATACTTCCTATTATATGTGATGACTACTATAGCACTATTTAATTGAGTATTTTTGTTTTACAAACGGATGGTGGATGTCATCAACTAAAGTTCTATAAAGAAAAAAACAAAAGGTAGACATCTCTGGAATTAAATTTCAACACTGGTTTCCATCGTAAAATCTCTGTGCTGCTACTGGGTTTCATATAAGCATTTATTGGAAGGACAACAAAACAATTCTGACTAAGGCCTAATGAGCATGGTCTGGCAGGAAAGGCATAGTGCAGAAGTATAAATCTCAGGCTTATTCTACTCATGACTTCCTGAGTTCAAATAAGTGACTCTATAGAGCAAACTGAGAAAGGGAAGGAAGAGCATAAGAAGCTCTGTGGATTTTGATGTTCGTACAAAATAAACTCAGATGACACTTGATACTAAGCATCAACAATTTACATTGAAATCAGTACTGGTATGAAAATCAGGCCAGTGTTTGATTGATAAGGAACTTGAAGAGAATGGCCTGTAAAATGAAATGCCAGATGATCTTGTGAGAAGACCCTTGGGTCAAAGCAAAAGGATCTCTGGAGTGGTCCTCAGGGTATGACATCTTATTTCACAATAATCTCTCACCCAGTGTCAGACCTCAGATGTGTGTGCACTCTGTGCTCGCACACAGCAAACCCAGAGTAAGATTTTTATGATGCAGATGTGACTGGTGCCTGTCACAGCACTGCTGCCAACCCCCGTGGCACCTCATGCCACACACCACCAGTCCAGGCAGGCAGACCCTGCTATTGCACTCTTCCCCTGTGTGTGCAAGTGCAATAAACCACACCTGGTTACAGCACAATCTGCAGTCATTTCTGATACCTTGGTTTACTTTCTGTCAAGCCAGGTAACCCAGTCAGAGAAATTTACCAATACTTTTAACCCAGTCAAAGCATTTCATGAAGTTCAGTAAAATTGTTAAATATCCCGCATTGGTTTTCATCCCAGCAGTGTTAGTTACTTTCTGGCTGGGGTTCAGGACACTGTGCCATAGAGGACTCAGCTTCTTGTGCAATCTGAAAAGTCTATGAAGAACTCAAATGAGTTCTGGCATCAGAATATTCCAACGTTCCATGTTGAATTTTTGGTACTTGCCTGTCTTCCATTGCTGGCTGCACTGCACCATTGTCCTTTGGAGTAATGTGTCAAATTATTAATCCTTCACGCATCAGTGGCTCTTATTACACCATACACTTGTTTTCTCCTGATAAACAGTAGTTGAGGACTAAATCTGAAGTATTTTATACTAGGAAGAGTATTACATCATTTTACAGAAGCAGGCACAGAGAAGTGACACAGACAACATTACTTTATTTGTTTTTATAAGATTCCCTGTAGTGTGCTATTTATATCACAGAATAAGTTGTTCTCTTGCTCTGAAAACCTTACTGTCTTCTTATAATGTGTCACAGGAGGCAAGATTATGAAAAACTTTTTTTTTAAAAAAGGCAGTGTAAGGTCTTAAAATTCTAGGAACTCATGATTTGCCCAACTCCTTATTTTTCCATCATTGCTTTTGTGACTGAGTAGCAGAACTTCAAAGAGTATATTCAAAACCATCACTGTATACAATGAACACAAAACTGCTCAATGCTTCTTACACATTAACAGTATCTGCTATGTACAGATGGATAAGAGGTATATAAGCTATTTCTGGTCTGTTGCCTTCTGCTGGGACCAAAGAAACCTAGCCTCCCTTGGCTGCATAAAACCTCGAAGTGACAAATAAAATGGCTCTTTCAATTATGCAGGCATAATTTCACCCAGCCTTGTGACTTTGCCATCAGAGGAAACAGGGAACAGTTGCTACAAACGTTCTTAATAAACTAACAGGGTATTATCTTCTACTGCATTTGTGCACAGCAGCATAAGCCTTGGTGTACGCACAGAATGAAGAATTTGTACAGGCAGCTGTCCTGTCACATGCTCAGTCTTTTGGTACCTAGATATATTTATTTTTCTGTCTTTTCTTTAAAGTTTATTTAGTTACTTAGGAAATTTTAGAGGTTGAAAAACATGTATCTCAGGATAGTAAGTAGATGGATAGACTGCAGCTGGCTGGGAGTTCTGAGGATCTGCATTTTTGCAGTTAGATGTATGGGTGCAGTTTGGTGCCTTTTAGTGTTTAAATCCTGTAGTTTATCCAGTCCAAAGTCAGTTAGCAATAAACAGCAGTTGACTCCAAACTTGACACTTTGCTTAATCACAAGAGGAAGATAACATCCGTTTGTGTTTGTCTGTGTTATTGTGAAGTTGGATCCACTTGCTTTATGTATCTACTTGTGTTCATGGAAACAAATGGCCACGTGAATTACAGTAAAACAGCGTCAGATCTCGCTCATATTTCTACCCTTTGCAGGAAGAACTCCAATCTGGTGCACAATGCCCGTGCACAGCTCTAGTGGCAGGTCTCTGCTGTACTATAAGCACTTTACCAAAAGTTTTCACTTAGAACTAGTGACAAAGACAGGCTCGTGGAAGTGCAAGTGCTAAGGTAATTGTGTTTCCATTTAAGACACTGGTTGCTTGAAAAGTTATATACTTAAGACCATGTATCAGGTAATTTTCTGTGTTTGTGTTTAGCAGAGTATTCTTACAATAGCTTTACAGACACTTTAGCTGGCTAAATGCTGGGATTCTAACAAGTGCGAAAAACAGGCAGAATTACTCGATTACTTAAATTGATTCTAAATGCAAAACAATGACAAAGTTGAAACAGTATTTAAGCCCTGAAGCAATACAGCACAGTTTTGATATAACTCACACTAATTAGGAGGAGCTGCTGTGTTTTGTGCTACTCAGCATCCCATGGTGGTTTTGGCTACAGCAGCAAATTTCAAGATGCAGTTAATATAAGAGTCCTCTTGTTCTGTGTTTTTAAGTAGACTCAATGTCCAGTTGCATGCAAACTAGTGAAGAGAAACAACTTCTCAGCATAGCAAGTAATAAAGAAAAGAAAATAAAGCTGGAATCCATTTGAAAAAAGCAAAAATCTCTTGCCACATAGTTGAGGAAGATACAAAAGGTAATCACACACCAAGTCTCTTACTAAGATATACAGGTTCTGGCCAGAATTACAGGGGTAACTGCATCAAAAAAGGTTCTGCCGTAAGATTCTGCACACAAGAATTCAAGGCCAAACTTCAAGTTTTACCACTGAAACTGTGCACCCAGCTCCTGGCAAGGGTTAACTTTTATTTCTGCCAACTGGGGATAGGATAGTTTTGCTGCTTTGTAACACAGGGGTTAGCTCTTGTCCTCAGATACTCTGCTCAGCATCCATATTCCTGTCAGTTCACAGCATGGGAAGATGACTTTTCCTCACCTGTCTTTATACCAATTTGTCTGATCAGAAATCTGCCAGCTAAGGAATTTCTAGCTGCTTGCATAACTTTACACTGGATATCTTCAGCTCCATGTAAACCTATTGACTGCAACAAGTAATCACCGCTTACCAAAGCACATTTCACATTGGAAATTACCTCAGCTGACCACCCAGTCCAGTCTTCTGCTAAGGTTAGTTTGGCAAACCAGGACAGAATATTCTTCAATATTTCATTAGCATTGAACTGGTTGATCTCCTTTTTGCACTTGCTACCTGTTTTGGTTTTTTTAAATCTGTACCTCAGTATGGCCTTCTTGGGCATGCCTTGGTTTCTCAGTAGTCACTGTGCAATTTCTCCGGCTCCAGAGGCTAAAAACAGTTTACAGTTTGTAGGTCTTATGAACAAAGGTGACAAATAACACAGTTGTGAAAAAAATATGACCTTCATTCTACTAGAGCAATTGGCAGTACCACCTGTGTGGCTGGGCTTCAGCCTGACCTGGATTCCACCTGTGTATTTTCATTGACCTTCTCTTTATTTGTTGGAATTTCACCTTCACCTGTGCTGCTGATGCCAGTGAGTGGGACTGATATCTGACACCAGGTTTTATTTTTTTAAGAAAACTCAAATTCTCCATGCATATGTTTATTTCTTTGGAAGTGTAGCTACTCTGGAAACACATGATTTCCACAAACAGGTTTTCATGCTCATTCTGACCTTCTGAATTAGATACTTTGCAATTAAAGTACCAAGAAGATGCTGAAGCAGAACACCATGTTGCTACCAAGCCAAGTCCTAGAACAACTCCTGTAATCTGGCCATCTTGTACCACCATGGCAGGAACCTGTAGCATTGCAGAGCTTGGTGATTGACAGCAGCAGGAACTTGATTCATTTCCATGTAGATCTACAACTGTTTTTCATGCGCTTAAAAACAGTTCTCAGTATCATCTCAATGCATTTTGAGTTTAATCCATTGAATAGCATTTTCATTTGCTGCCATCCTTCATAAGTGACTGTCTTCTTTACATACCAGGGTCATTGTTCCTTGTCCCTACTTGCAGAGGCAATGACTACTCTCAAGCCTATGGCAGAGAGTGAAGTTTTATAGAAACAGGCAGTGTTTTATGTGAAGATGTGAAAGATTACTGTTACTTAATGGGCTGTGAGAGATGGTAAAAAAATTGGTATTTACATATCTCCGTTCCACTGGTGCGTCAGCTGTGCATAAAAGTCTTACTAATACTGGAAAACTGAGAGTCTTTTCCAACACAAGTTTTGGCAGCCTGCAGTGATGAAACTGGAAATCTGGTTTTCTACTGCAGCCATGGTAGAGATATGAGTTTTGCTGATGAACCCATGTCAGCCTCTGTGCAGTCACAGCTTAGTCACTGATCTTAGAGCAGCCCAGTCTCCTCAGTGTCTGTACCACCTCAGTGACATGAAAAGCTTGTGCACCACAGCAGCAACTGTGAACATTTACAACATTACTTTGCTTGTTCTTCCAAAAATCAGGTAGTGATTGCTTCCTGTTCACATCCCAGCTGTGGCATCACCTGTTGCTTTATATGCCCACAGGTAACGGTTGGTGTGTGGTGTCAGTGCAACCTTCTGAAATGTTTTCTGCTCCTTAGATAGAATTGTGCCTGCAGTTCAACATCAGTGACCCCTTGGAAATTTCAGTCTGCATGGTGGATAAAGGCAAATGATCATATTCTTCCATTGAGGCAGTTACTGAATTATGCTGGCAGCTTAGAATCAGTGACTTCACTTCTTTTTTGAAGTTGCTGTTTAGGAAACCATAGATAACGGGGTTGACACAGGTAGAAGCCATAGCTACCAGGTGGCACAATGAGAAGATCAGGTTGTGGTGGCAAGGTGAAATGATTTTGTAATTCCAGTCCACGATGGTGTTGAAAACGTGCAGTGGTAGCCAGCAAACAGCAAAAGCAGCAACCATGGATGCTAGCAAGATGTTTATCCTTCTCAGCTGGACCGCCCGGTTGCTGTACTCGCTCTTCTCAAACATGTCCTTCCTCTTCTGCAGGCGTAAGTAGATTCGCAGGTAACAGAGGATGATGAAGAACAGAGGGATGCAGTATTGCAAGAGCAGTAAAGTGGTAGTGTAGATAAGTTTGTGCTGCTCAGAAGGCCACGAGTTGATACATATTGCCTTATCAGTGGAAAAATTCATGAAGTGTGAGAGCTGCTCATACAACTCGTTAGACAAGATGGATGTGGTCAAAAAGGGCAGGGACATGAGGCATGCTAAAGTCCAAATCACTCCAATTCCTAGGTAGGCTTGGGAGGTATTTGGCCTCCAGCCAGTTGGGTTTATGATGAGCTGGTGTCTTTCCAGAGCAATAAGGACAAGGGAAAGGATTGACACTGTCACAGTTGTGCACTGAGTGAAAGAGGTCATTTTGCACATGACTTCTCCAAATATCCAGTAGTCCATCATAGTGTAAACAACGGTGAAAGGCAGACAGACAAGACACATAAACAAGTCTGAAATTATTAAGTTGGAAATTAGAATATTGGTGACATTTGCCTTTTCCTTCTGCCTGGCAATGACAGCAATCAGACAGATGTTTCCCACAATGCCCAGAACAGTCTCCAAGCTGTAGGAGGTGGCCAGAAAGACAGTAAGGTCAGTGATGTTCATGCACTGATTAGAAATGTTCATAGGAAAACTTCGGCTTGAGCTCCAGTTCTTGCTGATCAGGAAATGAAAAACATCATTTGCAGCCCTTGTCTTATTCATCTTGAATCCCAAAGTATTTATGCAAAAGGGTGGTAGTCAAACACAGTCTGAGTCTTCTGGAGCCAGCCTAAAAGCGTTATATCTGTTCTGGCTGGCTGTGGAACGTCCGGGTATATCTGCAAAGGAAAGGAAAAGAAAAAATATGTTTAGTTATGCTGCAAGAAGTTAGTCAAAAGGGTAAGGAGGGAGACAGGGAAGCAAATGCCAGGGATTTTGTGTATTTTCTGCAGCTCCCTCTTACACAGTTTATTAGATCATAAAATGGAGCCCTTTGCTACACTGTGGTATGAAAGTCTGTACAACTCTATTGAATTATGACTATGTTTATTCATTGTGAAGTTGTACCATGGATTTAAGAACATCTTAACTTCATTATTTCACTTAGTGCAGTATCTTGAACATCACTAATGCAGTAAAGTGGTGATACAACAAAACCAGATCAAAACCCACCCAGGGTAAAATTGCATGCAATTCTGGTTCTGCAAGGTTCTGATCCAAAACTGGGCAGAGGACATTGTGAGGCTTCATTTACCTTCAGCTGTGCTAAATATCAATGTGCAAAGCAAGGCATATTAGGTGCACAAAGCCAACATTAAAATATCTTCTGTGAAATGCATTTGTAATTGCAGCCAGAACTCATTTGTGCAAGACAATCACCATGCAAAAACTCAGGCTCATCCTCTGGAGGGATATCATGGGAAAATTTTTTAAAAGTCTAAAATAATTAAAAATAATTTCAACGTGTTCCAGTTTCTACACAGCTGTGATAGGTCATGGGAACTGCAAGCCAAATTTCTTGCTTCCTCATTCCGGATGAACTCCAGTGCCCACGAAGCATTGATATCTCCCCGAATGTGACCATGACAGGGTTTATCAGAAATACAGTCCAGCTCCCTGATTTAGGCTTTAAGAGTGAGTGATTTTGATAGTGTCTTTTAATTCCTTCTGGGAAGATTTTTATTGATTCTCCCTCAGCATAATTTTACTTTTTTTTTTTTTTTTACAAATTTGTTGTAAAAGCATGTTCTATCTGCTAGAGACTGTTCCTGTACAAAGATAGGTCTGCTTCAAACTCACTTTCGGAAATCTCACTCACAGGACTGCCTTGACTCTCCCAGATGACTCCTGTGAGCCATAGCAAAGGCTACTTTATAATCCTGACCCTCATGTCCAAATCCTCTGTGTCCAGGAATCAAAGAAAAAAAATCTGACTCTGCTGGGAGTTGTCATCAGGGCAGAGGCAGTTCTGTGCTGTTCAAGGGCTTGTAGTATGAAAAGTAAATAAATATTTGGGGAATGACACTATTTAACCACTGCATGACACTTTCCTCAATGATTAAATATCACTCAAACAAGTTTGTGGGGTGGCAAAAAATGTTTGAGATTCAGAAAAAAACAACTAATTATGGTATGAATACATAAGTAACATGGTATGGTGAGGTTATCACTTCAATGGAGTAGCATTTATTGCTGAACAACTGCATGCCTAAAGATAACCAGTGCTGTACAAAAAGCCCCCACTATATCTTTTTCTTTGCCTTGTCTTTCCCATTATGAATTTTATTGTTTTCTAGAGATGTTGACTCTCATGAACTAAAGAAAGCAATAAGGTGCAGTAAATAAAAGGATGCTTGAATTAACTAGTACAGTAAATTCTTTTGTTACTTTGCTAGACCTGTTGATTTATCTAACTCTCTCTCTCTTTATCTTTCTGTCATCTATCTGTATCCATCTGACGCAATCAAGATAGTCACACGAGCAAAATACAGCAGCTCTTTCTTTCTCATAGTCTTTCATTCCCTCAGTAGTTTGAATCTTAATTAAGAGGGGCAAAGAAAATTTTCCAAATTGAGGATACAGGTATAACTCCTTCTGCCCTCTCATTTTTGTGTTGTTGTCCAATCCATGTGGACAGATCAATACACTTTCTGGAAGAAAAAGAGGCAGCAGTGGTGATGTATGGATGGGGAGGGTATGGTGGTCTGTTTCAGTGAAAAAAATGGGTATAGAATGAAAAACCTTCAACTAGCCCCATCGTTTTTAATGATTGCTGGCCAGTGGGGATGCTGCAAGCAAAACAGAGCTAAGGGATGGGCAGCCTGCTATATTATTTTGTACCAGTCAGAAGAGATAAGTCCTGGCATTTGGACAGGACAAACAGATTTAGCTGTAAACAAAACACGTGAGCTTTTTACTACGGTCCCAGCCTCATGTCCCTAGCTACAGTATCCTCAACAACAAACACATGGTTCTCTTTTGTTGCTTGAAAAATATGAAAATATGTGCAGTTATTACAAACATCTGTGTCCACAGAGTAAGCCTTCTCAAGGGTCTCAGACACTTTTGGACATGCTGAAGCAACAGTGAGAACTAATAATGCTGAAGGAAAAAAAGAGAAAGTGGTGGAGCCACCTGAGAAGCAGAAGTCAGATCCCATAGGTTTAGGGAGCACATTTCCAAGAGAAATAGCAAAGACTGAGTGTGGCTGTGTGTTGGTCACTGATGGTAAGTGTGGTGGGGATGAAGAGCATCTCTGCAATGTGTGTTGTTGCGTTAGGAGCTCCCTCTCTTTTATCACCTTGCATTTCCCCACCAGATGAATGGCAGGCACTTCCTGGGCATTCAGTGTCATGGCACTGCCCAGAAGTAAATAAGGAATTATCACCCTCTTCTCACAGATAAGCAGACTGTGAGAGGGAGTTGGGACATGAGTTGTCCAGGTGCTTTAAACCACCTGCCAACCTGATGCCTTGGGAAAAGTCAATGCATAGATCACCTCTGTCTGTAGTGCTCTTTAGGCCTTGTTCCAGTAACCATAATGTAAAAAGTAGTCCCAGGAAAACAGAAAAATAACTATTGCAGTAACCTTGCACTTATGCATCCTAGTATGGTATCCTTGGGTGGCAGATCCTCAAGGGCAGGCACTCCCAAGTGATGTGTTTGGCTTTCAAGGTGTTTGGTTGCCATTCAGTTCATTCTAAACCAAGAGCCAGTAAAAAGCAATGTGTGTATATTCTGTTTAGATATTTGAATCAAAGCTGAGCTAATATACTGAATCACCAGTGCAGTAGGAACAGGGGTGTTAGTTAGTCCCCTCATTGTATTGAAGGTTTGCTGATACCCCAGAAACCATGAGATTATGGTCTAAGGAAAAACAGCTTTTTTCCTCAGAAAATGAAGCAATATTTACTTGGCTTGTAGGACTAAGAAGTATATCTCTTAAATCTGTTTGTTGAGGGAGAGAGATTTTTGCTTGCTTTTTGCTCATTTGTCTTTAAAGAAGGAAGAGGAATCCTGTTCAGACTCTTAATGAATATTGGGAAAGAGTTCAGTAACAAAAACTAAGATGTTCATTAGAGTTTCTTCTCTAGTTAGTGCAGTATGAGACAGCTTCTCTAAAAAGCAAGTGTCACAAAAGTCTGCAGCAAATTAACAGGATACAGAAGGAAGAAGACAATGAGCTTTCAGAATTAATCTTAGTGTAAGTTCAGTTCCCCACATACATCTTTTGTAGATATTTATCACTCTTCCATTTGTGCTGGAAGCAAGGAAGAAGAGCAGGCAGTTTGAAGGGTTTGTCTCGGTGAACAGCACAGTCTTCTAAAGTAACAAATGTCACTCAGCTTGTCTCAAAAAAAAGAAACCAAATTATCACTTGTCAGCTCAAGTCTTGTCCCAGGGCATTATCCTGTATTTCCCTGAAAAATTCCTCAAAGGAAAGGGAATTCTGCAGAAATGCAGGGAAGAAAATAAAACCCTCAGTGGGTTTCAAGGAGACTGCTAGACCATTATGGCTTCAAGTTGTTAATGCATGACTGCTCCTTTGAGAGACCTCTGGACTCGAAGACATCCTGTGAAAACCCCTATAAAAACTTTTTTCCTGGAGGCAGGATAAAGCAGGGGGCTGCCACAGAGGCTGGGCTCTATGCACCCACTGGAAAAGGGTGGGTCATTTTTGCAAAGCTGATCATGATCATCCACTGCCTGCAATCAAATAACAGTCTCCATAGCTGGGACGGACAGTGGAAGCCAATTTCCACATCAGACATTAGTCAAAGAAAAAAACATGTTTGCAGTGTCTGGCTTCACTATCTGACACTTAGAAGCACCTGCTTATCTACCCCAGAGCCTAACTAATTGCTCAGACAACTGGCTTTCGGTCCATAAGACATTCTGAGAGAAGCAATTCCTAAAGACGTGTGGTGATTGTATCACTTACTTAAAGAGTTACAGCAATTACTGGGAGTAAAGCCAGCTGTTGTCTGCTAAGAAAAAATAAAAAAGGAGCAATGGAAAGGTTCAACACAATGCCAGAATTTAAATTACAGATATTGAGGTAGGGGGGACTGACTGACATTGGTATCCCCTTTTGGCTGCCAATGACATTATCTCAGTAAAGCAGATTTGGCCTGTTTAGCCTTACATACTAAAGAAAAGTTAAAAATCACTTGGCTATTATTACAGCTCCCCAGGAAAGCAACATTCAACTAGAAGAGGAAACATCACTGAGTTTGCACAGACATCCCACAACAGTGTTAAATCCATAAGGGATCCAGTACAGTGAAAGTTAATGATGGACTCTTTACCTCTTTTTAGCTTTGTATTGCAAAAATATTGGGACAAACTGTCTTAGGTCATTGAAAAAGCTATAAAGAACAAGCATTTCTAGAACCTGCATAATTAAGGTATATAAAAACCTGTGTATATTAACATATTACAAGTCTAGAACATAAGGGGTGGCATAAATACCAAGGAAAGTGAATTCTTTTTCCTCCTCTCACATCTGCATGTTTTCTGAGGGAAACCTTTTTGAGCTTATGAAATTCTGTTATGAGTTAATCTTCTCTGATCCTGTAGAAAGCAAGGAAGATTTACAAAAGCATTTACTCCAACTTTTTATTTTCTGGTTAAATTCATAAAAACCTTACCAAAGACATGGAGCCAGCTCACAAAGGTAAAATGTGAGTAGCAAATCAGCAGACTGCAGAATGATAGTTAGC